TACCAATCAACTTGTTTAACGAGATAATAAAATATACTTATAATTATCAATCATGCTACTTTTACACTAATTAAATCATTACGTTATGAAGTCTTCATCATTACTATTCCTAATAGTATCAACTAACTCGTTTATCAAGGTTATTAATACAGAAACAACACTTGACTCAAACAAGCTGTTTAGGGGTAAAAACATTAATTAACGAAAACAGACAGTTATTAGATATTGACGTTCAGGAGACGATGGGTGTAAATATAGACAACGTATTACAATGTGAAATATTGAACGTACAGAAAGTAAGGTATAGCCCGCAGATACAGGGCCATGCTTTCTTCTCGTCTAACCGACCCAGGTTTGGTTTTTAGAAAAGACTATTCCAAATGAAGATGAGGTTATTTATAAATGCATTCGTATAGTTAGGAATGTTATTATTGTATTTTATATAATGGTGTGAAAACACTTACAACGCGTCAATCATCAGATGGTTTGCGGAAAGTCGAATCTTGTTATCCGATTTCACTTCAATTTCAGTCTAAGGGGCATAATATTACAGATATATCAACCATTTATGATGCCCATGTTTCCAATGACAAGGAGAAACAGCGCAAATGCTATCAGAAGGAACCTATATTAAACCCCGCACCTATAGATTTAGACAACAAATAACAAACACGCTGTTGTTTAGTCTCCTATTATTATCTTATGTTAACACCTACTAGTGTGTGTATAGATAAGTTTGATTTAAATCGTTAGTGGTTATTACGTTCGTACTCTCCTCTAATTGTTATATTTTTCAGTAATCCTTTATTTCAGACCAAAACGTCCCATTTTAAATACATTACAAACACCAATACTAACACTAATAAATACAACGTTGGATTTATCCTTTCCATCTGACGACACCATATAGCCTAGATACTTTTAAACCGAGGCGAAAACCATAGGTTTACCAAACAAGTACACGCTTGGGACTATTTTCTGTCCCCACGTTTTTGGTAAGAATGACATGCATTCTATCTGAGTAGTGTGTAAAATAATGTCAAACTCCTCACCATAACACTCGCAGATCTCAATGACTAACTAACAAGATATCATCAGCATAAAAACGATGATTCTATATTTTACCAGCTAAATGACATCCAACACCCGCTTGTTGCAGCCTAGTACTGAGATCATCAATATAAATTGAAAATAACGTCGGCGAAAGAATGCTTCCTTGTCGAACTCCACTGGTCACTCTAAACGAAGCAGATATTTCTGAAGCCCATCGGATACAAAAAGTTTGACCTCGACACCAATGCAATAGACAACGCACAATGAATACAGGCATTCCCCGATCAAGTAATTTATTGAATAACATCTAATAGTTTACCCTGTCAAACGCTTTTGTTGCGGGTGAGTTGTGATTTTCATAGAACAATAAAACAACAATTTACTACATTTCTGTTGCATGCGTTTAAACCCAAACTGATAATCACTAGTCACGATAATTTTTTCAATTCGATTTAAAATGCACAATTTAAATAATTTCGATAAAACGGGTACTATAGCAACATGTCTATAACTATTCACTCTTTTGATATCTTTAGTCTTATCTTTAACAATTGGGACAATTATTGTATCCATAAAATAGTCTGGCAGGTGTCCATGAACAAAGAATGCAGTAAAGCACAAGGATAGTAGAACACACAGTATTTGATCCGCAAATATGATATGTTCCGAGCACAGTCTGTCTGTTCCAATACATTTTCCCTTTTCCAATTTATTAATGGCTACTTTGATTTCATTACAGGTGACTATCATATCTTCAGGGTAATTCATGACATTCACAGCAGATTGTGGTAGGGAAAAAACATCGGTCGGGAAAGATGATATCACGAAGAGACGTTCGATTGATGGTTGAAAGAACTCTGGTTTATTCTAGAAATAGTCACGCATTATATAGCGCACATGAAAGGTGCCGCCAAAACAACACATTGCGCTGATCAGGTGTCAGGGATTAATTAAATCAATTAATAGAATTACAATAATTAAGATCAAACATAAACAGAGTATATAAAGTAAGTATGAACGTAAACATAAACATACAGAATGACGCAATTCTAGCGAATATAGTTTCGAAATAGGGCGACTAGTTCTGCCTGATTTAAGACGAACGTCCGCTGATCTAACTAATCCGTCGTTATCAAAGTTGAGCTTTTCCACAACAGCAAGATTCCAAAGCAGGCGTTTTTTGTTGTCGTTGTGTACTAAAACAATGTCACCAATCTTAATGTGATTTTCTGTATTCTTGTTCATGTTTTGTCGATGACGTTCACGAAGTGACAACACGTATTCTTTATGCCATCTTTGCCAGAATCGTTGATAGAGACGAGCTAAATATTCAGTCCGTTTAGTGAGTTCAGTTCGCGAAACGGGAACAAAATCAAGATCTGATATTTGATCGATGTCTACAATAGGTTGTGGAAGAGGCGTCAACAATCGTCCATGCAACAGATGGGCTGGTGTCAATGGTTGCGCGTCAGCTATATTGGTTGATGTATGCGTTAATGGACGATCGTTCAATATGGCTTCAATTTCGCAAGTAATTGTAGATAGTTCATCCTTAGTAACCAGTGCATGTCCGATAACTTTCTTGAGACAGTTTTTCGTCATGCCGATAAGGCGTTCATAGAAACCTCCGTAATTCGGTGCTCGTTTTGGTATAAAAACCCAGTCTATACCTTTATCGGCCATGAATAAACGGATTTCTTCGTCGTTGAATAAATTTTGTATCTGTTTGTTAACGACATGGAAAGCACTTTGGTTATCAGATATGACTTTACGTGGATACGAACGTCGGGCTGCAAACCGTCTGAATGCTTGCAAAAACGCTTTCGCTGTCAAATTTGGTACAATTTCGAGGTGTATTGCTCTCGATACTGAACATGTGAATAGACATATGTATGTCTTTGATATGTGTCCATTGTTATCTTTAACGTATAGTTCTCCCGTATAATCTATGCCAACCCGGCAGAAAAGGGAGGGGCTTCGGTTAGTCGACAAGTTGGTAACGGCGGTTGTATTGGAAGTTCGTATGGTTTCCCAGCAAGTTTCTTGCACATGATACATCTGTAAATTAACGCCTTCACTTTAGATCGCAATTTCGGTATCCAATATTTTTGTCGAACGAGTGTAACGGTGGATTCTATTCCGGAGTGTAGTGTCCGTTGATGTGTTTGCTGTATAATAAGATCACTGAGTCTGTGATTGTTCGGTATCAATATTGGGAATTTAGCGTCGTATTCAAGGCGTGGTATAACAATGTTGTTGGCATCGGATATTTCTTGGCGTATCTTTTGCCATTCTGTGGTGAGGTTTTGTGGAATTGGTGAATCCCATGGTAGTTTTGCTTTCCATAATTGTTGGATGAAGGCCTTGGCGTGGATATGCACCGGTGACAAATACCCTAATGGATCAAATATACTTGACGTGTACCGTACGATTTCACGCTTAGTTACTGTGTTGCCAAGGTGACGTTTATTGGTGATATTGTCCGAGTAGTGCAAAATATCATGGGAAGTATTCCATCGTAATCCGAGTACGTTGACTAGCGTTGATTTGTCAGCAGCGTTGTCGTTATTCAATAAATTACGAAGTGTTGTGTTGTTTGTTGCCCATGATCGTAGATTAAAACCGGCGTTCTTCATTATTTCTTTAGAGTCGCGGTAGTACTTTATCGCTTCTTTCTGATTTTCAGTTCCT